GCGGCCCAGAGCTCCGCCCAGGGCGGGCTGTTCGCCTAGGTGAGCTTGACTCTCCCTCGGGGGCGAGTTCCTCAGAGCAGGGGCGCTCAGGGAGGCAGAGGCAGGCGGATCTCTGTGAGTTGGAGGCCAGCGCGGTCTACAGCGCGAGTGCCAGGATAGCCAGGAATGTTACACAGAGAGACCCTGTCTCAGGAAACTAACAAGAAAACAGACTGACTGTCTGACTTTGGGTTTCTTAGGGGCGGTTGGGGTGAGACTCCCGACCTCCAAACAGCAGGACCTTCTGACATAATAATTAAAGGCCTTTTGTGGGACACCCTGTTGGTGGGGGAGGTCCTTCTGTGTGAGTAAAGTACTGTTGGCCAATAGGAAAGCAAGTTATGCGGGACTAGGAATCAAGGAGGATTCTGGGAAGTGTAGTCAAGAGAAGTGTTGTGATCCAGGCAGGAAGTGACATAGCAGGCAGACTCAGAATATAAGCAGGAAATCGCTCTTCTCTACAGAGCTGCATGTGATCGCGGGAAGAGGACGCCAGCGGAAGACGTCCTCCATAAGTCTTATAAAATATATAGATTTATGGTAATTAAGACTGGGCCACATATAATAAATCCTAGTCAATCAGCAGCATTGTAAACTAATGTAAGTCTCGTGTGTTATTCTGGACGCCCACGTACGTGGGGGCGAGGCTCCGGCAGATGTAGTAAACGCTTATCCTTACACCCTATCCTATTTAGTTTTTGTTTTTTGTTTTTTAAAAATCCCTGTTATGTCTGGAAAGTGCTATAGTTTTTGCCCTGGAAGAGGCTGAGCCACTAGCCTAATTCCATTTGGCATAACTGTCTCTGTTGTGAGCTAATCTTTTTATACACTGTAAAGATGTGTCTTTGCCTAAGGCAACTTCTGATTGGTTTACTAAAGAGCTGACTGGCTACCAGCTGGGCAGGAGAGAGAGGTGAGGATGGAGGTGGTAAATGTAGTGTGGCCCAAGTCAGACCTACGCTGCAGGGAGGTAACCAGCCCATGTGACAGGACACAGGTGAATAAAACCAGGCTTATCTAAGTTATAGGAACTAGTTGGGGAAAAGCTAGGGTCAAGTGTTCATAGTTAGTCTCTGTGTTGTTATTTGTGAGCTGGTGGCCCAAAAAGGGATCCAACTACAGTTTCCTGCTAAGTCGTTTTTTGTTATATAATTATCTTGGATTCTGACAGTTTGCACCACAAATATATAACATGAAATTAACAGTCTTTCCATACTCCAAACCCACATATACTTCCAAGGAAAAAATAATACCTGTCCGGCAGCGGGGTAGTGACAGGAAGCCCACCTCAGAAGCAACAACCCTGTCTTCCTCTCAGGAACCTGAGGATTTGTCCTTCAAACAGCCCCTCCCTTCAGAGACCCTGTTCTGTGGGACTCCTGTCCCACAGTGGTATCACAGCTACTCCAAAGGGCCTTGCTTTGACCACAACTCAAAATGTCTCTTGGATGAAGCAGCCTACTGCCAGCCCAGATGACCCTGCTCACAGATACACTTGATCTTATTGCAGCAGTCCTCAGTCTGCTCAGAAGGGAACATCTCGCTAACCCACCGTGGCTAGTGCAAGTGACTTGGCTATACAAACAGCACTCCCTTCGTGCTTCTGAAAGCAGTTGGGGAAACTTGCTTCCTGGCAAGGCTTCTATGCTGCAACGCAGGGCAGGCTCAGTGAAGACTAGTCTCAGCAGTCACATTGCCCACGGGTAGCTTCTGACTGCTGGTAGAGTGGGCCAAGGGGGTTGTGGGGAAAGCAGGTGACTTGGAACTACCAGCCCCAGGCACCCAGACACAGCTGGAAGGTGGCGGGACTTCACAGCTAGACTGAAGAGATGAGGGTCTGAGGGCTGAGAAGTGAGACTATGGAGGAGCCATCCGCCCTGTCCTGGTACTTCAAAGAGGAAGGTACTGAATTGCCAGCTCGGTTACTGAGCTGCACTTAGAGGCTGGAAACCAGGCCATTGGCACTTGAAGGCTACACTGTAAGGAGGGCCCTGGCACTGCACTTAGACTCGTTGTCTGTGAGTGAGTTTCCATTTGAATAGAGCAAAAAGACCTTCAGCTCTTGATGAAGTGTTGATGTTCTGAGTTATGCTGGACCATTAGGAAAGAGGGTTACTCCAGAATGAAATCAGGTTCTGAGATATCAGAGAAAAACAATCTCTGATGGGCTGAACCCCAAAAACCCACCCAGAAGAGTATTTATTGATTGTCATACCAAAATTTTTAGAGTAAAACAAGATCCTCATACCAAACACAGATGTAATCTACATCTTTCTCAAAGGAGCACCTCACCCTTGCAATCTTTGTCCTTTTTTGCACTGTTTCAGTACTCAGTAGTGCAGGGTGTCCGGGTGCCAGGACTATCGTGTGACTAAAGTTGTGCAAAGGCTGTAAAACTCCTTCAGAAAAAGAACTCTATAAATCATAGAAAACAATCAGTTTTCTGCAATGATTTCTTCAA